ACACAAACTGCCTCACAACACCCGACAAGCTCAACACAAACTGCCTCTCACACACACACAAACACCCGACGAGCTCAACACAAACTGCCTCACACACACACACACACACAAACACCCGACGAGCTCAACACAAACGGAGTGCTCTGCACTGTTGACCTATGATGAAACTTCCACATTATGAAGTGCGACGGACTCACAAAGTGGAACATTACTCCACAAAGTCCAACTTTGTGCGTCAGTAAAATGTCCTCTTACTGGAACACAGGAGTCTTTAAAGGGACAGATAAGACATGTTGAAGTAAGCATCTTACCTGTTGTAGATATGGGTTAGTTCGACCTGTTTGGAGTAAAATGATTTAATTGTGACGGGCCTGATGAGCTGCTCGTCCAGTCAGAATTAAACTCCAAACAGAGGTCGATCAAAGAGCTATCTGCAGCAGGTAGGATGTTGTTTGTTCGTAATATTGTCACATAACTCTACCCTAAATTGACCTGATGGACCTGACCGACTAGCACTGGTGACCTGGTTTTTAGCATGCTGCATGCACGCCAACACACGTGACGTCCTAACAAGTTTACCATGCAGCGATCGGTTGGGGCCAATATGTGTAAACTATTAAAAAAGAAAGGCAATGAACCTAACCACACGAGTTAAGACATGTAAGGGCCTCTTCTTACACTGCATAGTTCCTAGCTGTACAACACTAAAGCATAAAATGATTTTTACCAATTAAACTAGAAAAAGTTCCTTAATCATCAGGTTTCACTAAAGCCCTTAAAACATTAAGAAGTTTGCTCGTCACATTCCCAATCAGGAATGTCCTCTGACGCCGACAACCCTTTTTCATTAACACGGATCGACGGCGAGACAACGCTACGCAGCTGGCACGAAGCCAAGAGGGATGATGTTACCTTCAAGAGCAGAGCTGCAACACAAGGACTGTGGTGTGTAAGGCAGCGTAACAGAAGCGTCAGTCAGTGTCCTCCCTGCAGAGCAGCTCGTCCTGCAGCAGGTAAATAAAACCTTCTAAAGGAGCTCCTCCACGGAGCCACTCTGCAGCCGGAAAATACAAATCAACCTCCACTTTTAACGCAAGTTCCAAAAATATTCTTCTCTAATTATTCCATATTGCTCATCATGAGCGTCGATTTTTCCTTCTCTGCAAATCGAAACTCGTTACCTATGGCTGTGTTTCAGAAACATCGGATCATTTGAAGCATCTCAAAACGTGCTGCTCAACTCAAAACGTGTGCAAGTAAACAACAAATGTAACAGCAAGTGGAGAAATTTGATCTGAAGCTGTGAACAAAGATTCCGGTCATCCTATGTGAACTAGCCCGTGGCCTTCGTCCTGTCGTCTTCCTCACTCATCAAAAGCACAGTGGGAAGGAAGAAACCACACCAAAGTTCAATCATGTCATCTGAAAGAGTGAGAATAAATCAGAAACGAGTGAAATGTGAGTCGAGTTGGAGTTCTAGAAAAGAACAGAAAAAACGTTTTCCAAGCACTCGTTTGAATTTTCTGAGACGGTGAAATCGTCTCATCTCCCTGAAATATGATTTCAGAAGGATAACTCAAAAACCTCAAGAAAGTGGATTAGAGCGTCAAAAGTTAAACTGCAGTTTGGAAAACGGATCAGAGAGCTGTGAAGAACTCTGCAAATGAAGCCCTCCGTTTGGAAAACGAGAAAAATGTGCAAGACGTAAAGCTATGGCATCAGAAACGTTTAGTTTTTCATCTCGTGGATAAAAAAAACTAACGTGCAGTTTTAAGTGAGGCAAGACGAGAACGCCTGGGCGGAGCCCGAGGTTCTGAGGTAGGGCGACGTCGGTCCGGGTCGTCACTTCACTTTCTGAGCCCACTTCATGTCGTCTGCTCGGGGCTTCTCCCCCGTCACGCTCTGGATCAGATCCTCCAAGGTTCTCCAGAAACCCAGCTTCTCCAGGGGGTAGTTCAGCCACCCTGGAAGAAAGAGAAACTCTCAGCATCTGACGTTTCATCTACAGAACGCCGCGTGCAGCCCGTCAGCCCAACCTGTGGTGATGCAGAAGTACGTCTCGTGAGGGGACACGTGATGGATGCGGTGGTGCTTGCGAGGAAGGATGATGTGGCAGTCCTGCAGGAACACCACCCAACGAGGGAGGCCGAAGTACGTGTGGGACCACTTGTGAATCTGATTGGTGAGGGTCACAAAGATGGCCAGTGCGTACAAGTAGCAGTACCACGGGTAGATATGATAAATCTCCGCTGTGATCAAAGGAAAACATTTTTCTTTGGTTGCCGTTTTTTCTCTGAAAGGTTTGGGCATTTTCTACAATGGAGAAAATGGCAGCTGTGTTGATCTAACACTAACCGGGGGAGAGGGTGAGGACGTTGAAGGCCATGTTTGCCAGCGGGACAATGGTCAGCATGCAGTTGTCTCCGTTGGTCTCGATGAAGTCGTGACGTGTGATGGCTGTGGGGTCGATGTGGTGCTCTCTGAACGGACGTATAAAAGCCTTCGGGAAAGAAAAAAATAGGATTGAATTGGCCAAAATGTCACATTTTAAAAACTTCGAAACTCTGGATTTGAGAAATCTACCTTTCCAAAGATGAACAGATCCACAGAGCCCCACGTGTCAGCCCCCCAGTGGACAAGTCCTGACGCAAAGTCAGCCGTGAGGATTCCTGCCACTGGAAACACAAAACAATGATGAACACAAATAGAGCCCGACAGATTTTTATTTATTTTTTTATTATTTATTATT